ATTTGAGTGTGTCCTCCTTCATTAGCTATTTCTACTGCACTCTTTCCTCTCTCATCTTTACTGTTAGGATCAGCTCCTAACTGCAGTAGCATTAATACTTCAAAACTATCACCAGCTTTAACTGATTCATGGAGCGAAACGTCAAAGTTGTTATCATCTTCTCTTCTGATAGGAATTGCTTTATTGTCAACAGCAGCTTCCAATATTCCTAATCTACTCACTGAGTTTGTTTTGTTATTGATGGCATCAATAAGAGACTGTGATAGTGAGGCTGGTATTATCAGTGTAGCAACTACTGAGCCAATACCAATGTCCCTTATAGTGCAAATATCTGCTATTTCTTGCCCAAAGTAATACTGAAGAACTCTTTTAAAATTTTTTAAAGTCATGTCTTCCCATCTACCATTCAGTTTAATGATGGATGGTTTTGTTTGATTGCTAGTGGTTGGTGAGGCTGCTGCTGGTAATGATGACAATTTCTCTTTGATTGTTGATCGTATGTGCTTCAATTGTGATGATTCTGAGAATTTATCAACACAATCAATGTATTGAGTTAGTTCAGCTTGTGCATTTGAAAGGTAAGTGTCTGTCAAGTGTTTAAGTACACCACAACTGAAGAAATTATAATGAGGCTGAAAAGAATCAAATAATTCATCAACGTCACCATATTTCAAACTGGACACTTTCATGCTTAAATAAGTTGCTGCACTCCTAGCTATGGCTTTAAGATCTACTTCACCTTTTGTTACCAACTTTTCAATTTCTCCTCTTAGTTTAGAATCAAGAGATGCAAAACGAGAATGAAGACTTTCAATATTGGCAGCAACTTCACTCTTTGAACTGAGCTCAATGACAGTAGTAGGAGTAGATGATTGTGATTGAGTGATTGTTGGTTGTGGTGTGTGAGATTGTGCAGTGACATCCACTGGTTGAAGTGGTCCCTTACTGACTGATGGTTGCTGCTCTAGATTAGGATCAACATGACCACCTTTCATTTCTGTTATTTAAATAAATGAATAAATGGGGTATATAATTATTGTATCTTACTTAATTTTTCCATTATTTTTGATGCCATGTTCTTTAGTCCTACTTTCTGTAGTGATGTAATGAGAGAAGAGAACACACTGTTAGGATTAGGATGACACTCAAGTGTTGCTAGTACTGAAGAGAATATTTTATTAGCTCTATCATAAGGAGTGAGTCCAGTGGTTCCAACAGTAACATGTACTGCTTTTGGAATGAGATCAGATGAAAAGAGATGATTATTTATCTGAGAAATAACTGGAGCATTTCCTGCCAATAGGTCAACAAGATCAGCTAACATCTCTTTCATTGTAATGTATTCTGGTGACATTGATCCTTCCATTGGTTTGAATGATGATGGATCCTTCTTCCCCTCCTTATGTTGCAGTACTGTTGCTGTTGGATCATGCGGAGCTGATGATGAATCTTGAGATTTTCTTGGTTTAGGCTTGGGTTTAGGTGCTTTTGGTGGAGGTTTTTTAGTCATTGATGATCGGTGTGGTTTAGGTGCTGTTGGAGGAGGTTGTGTAGTTAGTGATGGTCGACGTGGTTTAGGTGCTGTTGGTGGAGGTTGTGTGGCTTGTGAAAGTGGTCGTGGTTTTTTTGCTGTTGATAATGGTTTTGATGGACCACTTAGTGATAACGATCTTGGTTTAGGTGCTACTGGGGGAGGAGACTTTGGCGTCTTTTGTGAATGAGATGAACCTATAGATAGTAATTGCTATTAATTCTGAATTATTGCTCTAATTACGTTAGCTAATTTTGTACATTTAGACCTAGATCTATACCTTTTAGTTTTTCAGTAGCTACTCTCATTTCATGTAGAAGTGTTGGGTGTTCTTCAAATGCTCTTATAAGAAGAGACATTCCTTCATGATCATTAACAGCATTTTTAATCTTTCTTATAGTATCAGCATCAAGCAGTGGTAGAGACTCCTCCAGTTGTCCTTTGATCAATAACTCATAAAACTCTATCAATTCAGATACTTTTGGTCTATCATCTGGTATATCCATTAATGCAATAGGAGAGAATGGAGGACCTCCTATCAATGGCTTGTTTGTACCTGTAGAAGGATAGAGAATTAAAATAATTGTAGTAATTGTGTCAAATGAAGTATTTCATAGTTATCATACTATATATCATTACAATCAATTGGCTTACTATAAATTTTACACATAATTTAACAATCTTACATTACAAATTATACTCCTCCACCAATCTCTGAAAATAATAATAATAATATATACATCTAGATGCTTTAGTCCAGTAATGTATCACTCACCAGTAGCAGCACTGTATACATCATTGGTTCCTTTGATATCATTACCACTGATCATAGCATTACGTTCTATAGAATACACACACACAGTCAATACTAATACTATCAGTGATATTAACTTACTCTCTTGATCTAACTTGTCAGCTGCAGCATTCTCATTCATAGATTTAAGAGCATCTGACAGTGAGTCAAAGGTAGCTCCTCCTTTACTGTCAACATTATCAGCTCTGGACAACCACTGGGAGAGACATTCAAGCAAGCATCGAGATACATCACCACGAAGAGTCACTTCCATTGCGTCCAGTGTGTTCTTGTGTAGTCCTAGTTTAAGTCCTAGGCCAAACCATTTTGCCTGGGGAAAACCACATCTCTCCAGTAGGTCGACAACATCAATAAGTTGATCTAAAATCATATTCAATGATACATAGATAGTTAATGAACATTACCAATAGTCAAAGGAGAAGAGAAGAGACTCAGAGAAAAGGAACAAGAGCTGGTTTTAGTTGCCATTGATCAAAGCCGGAATGCAAACTTAATTTGCAAAGAATTGACAAGGGAGGATCTGGTTTTGGGCGGGGCAATATTTGTTATTTTAACCCTCAATATGGTGGCATTGGAACAGATAGATCATGATGGACTTTCCATATATAGGGAAGAGAGAAAGTTGATGTGGAGTTACTAATGACAGCAAAATAACAGATGAGGTAGTTTAAATGTACCTGTACATGTATACTAGTACATGAATTCTAGTAAAATTGTGAATTACTGCATATATATGTATAATAATGAATTTGTGACCAGTGCCATTGAGCATTTCTCTCTCCTCCTTTCCTTTCTTTCATTTCCTCTCTCATAGGAGCTTGTAGCTTTAAAAGACTCTCATGTATTTAATGTAAGTAATGTAATATAATGCTCTGAAATCACCCCCAAATTTTTATTACATTTTCTGATGCATATTGATGCCCTTGTGTTGTGTAGAAAGTTTAAGCTGATTCCGACTTCAATTTTTCAAGTTAAGACCATTTTAAGAAATTGCCGCGATTTCGAAAAATACCCAAGGCTATAGCCCATGGTTTTTTCCAAAAACATGGCTCCGAAATTACCCCAACTTTTTATTACATTTTCTGATACATATTGATGTCCTTATGCTGTGTAGAAAGTTTGAGCTGATTCTGACTTCAATTTTCAAGTTACGGCCATTTTAAGAAATTACCGAGATTCTGAAAAATACCCAAGGCTATAGCCAATCATTTTTTCAGAAAATGACTTTAAAATCACCCCAAACTTTATTATATCCTTATGCTACGTAAAAAGTTTGACCTGGTTCTGATTAAATTTTTGAGTTACATGTATGACCAAAATCAAACGTACTATGCATACATTTAATACATTTTCTGATTCAGCTAATGTCCAAGTGATGTGTAATAGTTAAAGCCAATTCCACTAAAATTTTTGAGTCATGTCCATTTACACAAATGAACCAATTAATATTATCACATCTCATTGTTTTTATTGTATTTTATGAGTTTAACGAGAGCTTTGCTGATAAACATTGAATTATGAAATGAACATCAAAAGTAAATATACATATGTACATGTACATGTAATCCTTTATCTCCATGTCTCTCACTATTTAGAGTGTTGATAGAAAATATGTGTTTCATTTACCCGACACATTCCCAGAGACTCAAAGTATCCTGAGGTACGTTATTCCGCTCATCATCCTGTCCCTCCCCCACCTCCTCTGGTCTCTCGTACAGCTGTGTGTTTGGTACCAATACAACAAGGTTAGGACCAGACGTGGGGCAAGCACTTTCTAAAATGCTTGAAGCACATCATAAAGCACTGGGGAAATTGCTTAAGCACAAGCCAAGCACAAATGCTTCAATATAGCAATGTGCTTCAAGCACATCTAAAGCACTTGTGAAAATGCTTAAGCACAAGCACAAGCACTAATGCTGTAATTAAAAGCGTGCTTCAAGCAATACCTAAAGCACTCAATCTATAAGTTATGGCAATATTTGTGGCACTTAGGCTCTGAAAGCACCACTCAAAACTTCAAAAAGATTGAAAAAGATTGAAATAATAAAATCTGGTAGCTTCTTCGTGGTTGTGGCCATCTTTAAAGGTTAAACTGACAGTAGGTCTCATGCGTATGTTACGATAGATGTCATACACATGCATGACAGCTATATTACTGATAACTGATAAAACAGACAAGCATTAGTGCTTAAAAAGTGCTTCAAAAGTGCTTTAAAGCATTTACATTAAAAAGAGCTTAAGTACAAGTCAAGCACAAGTGCTTGCAATATGATTAATGCTTGCAAGCACCTTCAAGCATTTACAAAAAAGTGCTTAAAATGCTTATAAGCACAAATGCTTAAGTGCTTGCCCCATGTCTGGTTAGGACACACAGTCAGTGTATGTACATGTACATGTTTGTCCTTTTATGTTTTGACAAATTTTAGCAACTTTAAAAATTTGTAAAAAATCCAATTTTGATTGGAATGAGCTCAAACTTTCTATACAACATAAGAACATGCTTATTAGGAAAAATTATAAAATTGAAGAATTCTTGTCGTAATTTGAAACTGTGGATGTGTTCCTAATTAATAATAATTGCATCCACATGTACACGTGCATGTACGTTGTAATGTCACTTTTGTAAGTGATGTTACAAATTGGTTTTTATTGAGGGAATTATATTTCGCGAAATCTACTAAAATTCCAATTTGCAGATTTTATTTCCGCAAATTCTGCCATGTGTGCGATGTGGGTACCATATTAAATTGATTTTCACAGATTTTATTTTCAGGAAGGTATCTGAAATTCGCGAAATTTGCAACCCTCGAGAAAAACCACTTATACTGTATTATATTATACCATATTATTAGATAGTGAATTTCTATTAAATTTGTTAGTTTTTTGTTTACCATTAATGCCACTTCCTCATTCTCCTCCCTCTCCCTCCCCAGATCAAGATGTTGTCCAGATCAAGATGGTGACAAGGACCTCCACCTCATGAGACACACTGCAGTACCAGCAGCTGCTGCTAGTGACGATGAGGAAGAAGAGGATTAGGAGAATAATGGAGTTACTAATCACAGCAAAATTAACAAACGAGGTACATGTAGTTTAAACATAACATGTACTGTATTCTTGTACATGTACATAAATTTTACTATATTTAGTCAACATTGTGAATTACTGAATTTGTGACCTTGTGTCATTGAGCATCATCATAATACATATACATGTATGTAGGTTGTTCAGATTCAGAATCACATGTGTACATGTTTTGTACATTTATTTTTTGTACTTTTACATATACAGTGTACATTGTGTAGGTGCATGTAGTTCAAAATGATGTTTTTTTAACTGACCAATTCACATCCTATATTATTTTTTAAGTACACATGTACATGTAAATGTGTACATGAATATTTATTATTTTTATAGAATAAAAAATTAGTATAAAATTATTCTAAAAGTATTGAGACACTGCGTTCAATATTCAATGGAATGACATCAAGTTACAACAAACTAAGGAAACAACTGGAAACAAAAATGCACGAAATCGAAGAGGAGAAAGGAGGAGAGAGAGGAGGAGGAGGAGCTGAAGATTTGAACTTATTGAATGCTAAACTTGAAGCAGATAAAGCTAAGGTAGTTATTAATAGTTATTAATTATTAGTTAATTAATTATTGATAGCTTGAGCATAAAGTGA